GTGGTCGACGACCAGCTGCCGTAACACCTACGAACATCAACGAAATTCGCTTTCGGATTCGCTAAAACGAGCTGCGGTCGATGCGAAAGATGGGCAAACAGTTGAAAATTAGCCCTCGAAGCGTTGGAAGGATTGTTAAAGGGAAACTAAGATTCTTTAGCTACAAATTGGCCAAAGCACACGTCTTGGGCGACAAATCCCAGAAGAAACGAAAGCGTCTAGCAAAGAAGATGGTGCGCTTGGTCGCGCCTGGCCTACTTGAGAGGCCTCCTCTACACAGATGAAAAGATTTTTTCTATCCAGTCATTGCACAACCGCCAAAATCATAGATAACTTTTAAAAAAGGGGTCTGAAGAACACATTTGCGGCAAATTTGATGGTTAGAAAGCATTTTTCAGCTTCGACTACGGTGTGTGGAGGTATGTGTGCTACAAGTAAGACACCGCCTGTTTTTTTGGACAGAAACGTCAAGATGAATGCTAAAAACTGTCAACAACTGGTATTAAAAGATGTCTTGAAACATTGAGCAACAAATCACTTTGGACAAGCTGGCTTTTCCCTGCAACAGGACTGGGCTCCTGAGCATACTGCTCACGCAACTCTCAACGTTTGCGCTCAGTTGTTTCCAGGCTTTTGGGATAAGACCATTTGGCCTTCAAATTCGCTAGATCTTAATCCCCTCGATTACTCCGTTTGGGCTATTTTGGAAGGCAAGATCTCGATGAAGACGTATCAAACAGTGGATGCTTTAAAATTTGCTCTGAAACGAGTCTGGGATGAAATAACTGTTTAAGCGTGCGCCACCATCGTGAGGAACTTCCCAAAGCGTTTAAAGAGGTGTATCGAAGCGGATGGTGGAAATTTCGGGCATTTGTTATAAGTTATTTGTTGTTATGATTCGAATAAAGAATTTGTTATTAATTTTTAACTTTTTAAAGCTAGTTTTTAAACCTTTAACTATCTTAAGAAGCGGCTCCAAACTTTTGCCGCACCCTGTATACTTAATAATTCAATACTCAACAACTTTAGTTGACATTTGGTCGACGGGCTTGCTTGTACTCGAGTTTCTCAATTGTCCACTCTATCCGCCGACAGTGAACTCGGTAAATGTACTTCGTTTTCTATAAAGCGCACTTCAGAAAAGCTACCGTAAACTGGTTACTTTTGGAAAGCAATTAATTTGGTCAAAATACGGTAGCTTTGGGTAGCTTTGACCAACTTAATTGCTTTCCCAAAGTAACCAGTTTACGGTAGCTTTTCTTGGAGTATCTAAAGTTTTTCATTTTTTAAACAATCTTTTCATCTCATTTAGAAAGAGAAAATCAAGCAAAGGATTCTGGATGTTTTTGGGTTACCGGGTGATAAGTACAAGGAATTGTAGGTTTTATCTACCATTGGCTCTCAACAAGATACAGATTTCCTGCTTCTTTAGTTTCAAAAACAAGCTTCTAATCGAGAGGTCACGAGACGGGGTTTTTCACACTTTTCTGACCGAAGCATTTAAACGACTCGATTCAGCGTTTCGGGATTTGAATGGTAGGACCATTTTGTTCGGGTTTTACCTAGAATGTGTTCCTCTCGGTTAATGCGTTTCTTAAAACGCGCGCTCAAAAAAAGCCACCATAGACGCGACGTAAATTTTACATTTAAACTTTCAAATGCAGATTTTTCTTCGAAAAGCTTTGTTCAAATTGATGGGGATGGCTAATTTGCCCCAAATTTGGGCCAAATCTTGCCTTAAACGTTCGATTTCTTTTAGCTTTTCCTTTTTAGTTCGATTTCTTTTGGCTTTTCCTTTTTAGCAATCATGTTTCTTTCTTCTTTTCTTAAAAAGCAATTAACTTCGGTAATTTTTTCATTTCTTTTACTTACTACTTCTTTTGCCAATCAGTGCAAATTTGCTAAAGAGACATATTCATCATGTTAGGCTATATGAATTCGATAAAGGCTCAACTTCAAGTCTAGCTCTAGATCACAGCTCTAGATCACAGCTCTAGATCACAGCTCTAGATCACAGCTCTAGATCACAGCTCTAGATCACAGCTCTAGATCACAGCTCTAGATCACAGCTCTAGATCACAGCTCTAGATCACAGCTCTAGATCACAGCTCTACTCAACTCAACAAAAGTATAGGGTCATGACTCCCTCTGTAATCGATGGTTTCACAAATTTAAAGATGGAGACAAATGTTTAACCGTTAATAGAGCTAAGCCGCCATTAACCAATCATTAATCGACTAAAAAAACTTATGCAAATTTATTCGGTTAATTGTTTAAGCCCGAGGAACACACTCTTTTACCTATCAATTGCACAATTGTGTCTTAAGCGGCTAATTTCAGAAGACAATTTGCGGGATCTTCTCAGCAAAATGCTCTGCATCAATCCACGTAGACCGCTGGCAAGCGAGCTTCTCGATCATGAGTATTTGAAAGCAATGAATGTAAAAGTTGATTCCCTATTAGTTTCTAGATTTTGTTTTAGAGTGACATGACGAGGAAACACGTTCAAATCTCGGGCAAAGATCATCACGCGAAAGATCAACGCGACAAGGAAACGCTGATCAAAATGCTCAAGAATTTTTCGAGACAATTGTGAGAATGAAATAAAATAATGCTAGTGTTGTCCACCTTTTTTTGTATTTTTGTTTGAAAATAACCAATTCACCGCTTGACCTATTACGCGAAATAAGGCAAAAAATCTTTGTCCATAGGATTTTTACGTTTGAATAGCCAATTGACGCAGAAAAATGGGGGGAAGCCGAAAGTAAATTTTTTTTGAATTTTTGAAATCCCTTCGACAAATTTTTTTTGAAATCGAGCTTTAGTGGTTTTACCGTGTTGAATTTCAGCCATTTTTTATTGCCGGCGCAAAATTTTGAAAACAAAAGCCTAAAACAAAAATGTAAACGGCAAGTTTTATTCTACGGATTTTTCTCTATCTTTTGATATCAAAAAGATAAAAATTGATATATTGTATATATTGCTATAGATTGCTCCATTAGAAAAGTCTAATATTTTTCTACAAAAAAGCGTTCAAATTTTATGAAAATGTTTTGTCTCTAGTTTTTTATTGGGACGCGGAGTCGGGTGGTCAAAAAAGGTGACAACCGGATTTACGTGTCCATAGGATTTTTACGTTTGACAGCCAATTGACGTCGAAAAATGGGGGGGTAGTCAAAACAGCGCCATAATAGAAAACGTTCAAAACAGCGCCGTCAAATTTCTCAAAATCCAAAAACCAAGCCGGTTCAAGTTTTATATCAAAAAATTCCTTGCGTTCTTGGCTACATGATGGGTGAAACAGTTTTTTAAAAAAGTTAATATTTCATAGATAAAAAGAGCACTCAAAATGTGTGTCGAGTGATACTCAGTTGATTAACTGAATATCTTTACACCCATCATGTAGCCAAGAACGCAAGGAGTTTTTTTGATATAAAACTTGAACCGGCTTGGTTTTTTGGATTTTGAGAAATTTGACGGCGCTGTTTTGACTACCCCGAAAAATGTGCTGAAGCTCAAAATAAAAGAATTTTTGAAATATCTTCGATAAATTCTTAAAAAAACGAGTTTTAGTGATTTTACCGTGTTAAATTTCAGCCATATTTTATTGCTGCCTTGGTGGCACTTGATTTCCTCAATCATCCTTCAATCCAGCAAACGTTGTAAACTCGGTTTGTGACTATTTTTCTCGCTAAAGCGTTTCTAAAAGGTGCTCTAAGAAAACCTACCGTAATTCAGTTATCTTTGCTTTGCAGCATGTACTGGTCCTAGATGTCTGGGTCCTCATACGGGTCCAATATTAAGAGATATAGACTAAGAGAAGGTTAAAGTACGTAAAAAAAAACATTGTAAAGTAAATTTCCAAGATAAAAGATAAAAGGTTGCGAAAATGATTGTTAGTCCACAAAAGTAATGCCCCATTGCCATCCAATAATATGTTTTGTAAGGAAATCTTGCAAAATCGACATTTCAGAAAAAGAGTAGGGTATTTTTACCGACCCATAAGACTCGACTTTTCAAGAATATAAGATTTATCCGTATACATTACATACAAATTAAAGTATAAAACAAAAACAACAAGCTACTTGAAAATTAGCTCCACAAAAGTAATGGCCCATTTGCAAAGAATTAACACAATTTTTTAAAATCAATACTTGGTTGGTCCTCCTTTTGCTTTTATTACTTCATTGAGTCGATTCGGCATGGAATCCACGAGATTCTTCAAAAGACTTTGGGGGATGGTTGAAAAGAAGTTGAATGTGAACCCATAAGGCAGCCTTCGAATCGAATTTCTTTCCCTTGACTTCACAAATGACCAGAGATGCTCGATAACATTGATATCCGGTGAGTAGGGAGGCGGATTGATCAATTTGATTCGACTTGCCGCAAACCAGCCCGGAAGTCGTGCTCGTGTACCATTTTGAAGAGTCACCACCGTTCCAATTATGAGCCTTTACTTGTGTTTAAGGTTAGATCGCTGAAATGAAGGATTCTTTTGGAGTCTAGATGAGAAAGGAAACTTGAATCAAGTTTGGATTGTCACGGAAAGAATCGACTTCAAGCTATCGGATTTTTTTAGGTTTGAGAGCTTTACTGGTGTTGATTTCAAGTACAAGTCAAATTCAGAAAGAAAGCGAAGAAAGACAATACGGCAACGCCAGGGCCACGTAATCATCGTCATCTTGGTTCAATTCTCATTCAGATTTTGCGACCCCTCGACTACTTGCATCAACGCGGGATCATGCATCGCGTCGGTTTAAGCATATTTTCAATTTAATTACTTTTGAAAACACAATATGTTTATAGAGTTTGATCCTCTAAAAAGGCCAGATATTCTCTTGGTAAAATGAGCCTGAAAGAACAAAGTCGATACAGTTTAGTTCCAATTTATTCTGTCACACCATACTTAAACAACAAAAAGAATTCAGGATGTAAAGCCAGACAATATTGGAATAGTGCCACTTGAAACTCTTTGATTTTGGCCTTGCAAAGTCGGTTCACAAGAGAGCTGAATGTAGATACAATTATCTAATTGAGTTTCGCACTTCAAATTCAGACCACAATGAACTCGATCCCACCAAAAGAAGTGTCAAATGATTGTGATTAGATTTGTGTATATGTTGTGTCCGATTTAGATTTCCGTCCGATTTAGATTCAATCTAAATCGGACGTCCGATTTAGATTGAACTTATCGCGGACGTCCGATTTAGATTACAGTCTATATCGGACGTCCGATTTAGATTGAATCTAAATCGGACGTCTTATATAGATTGAACAATAATATAAACATGTTTAATATATGTTCTTAAGCGTTTTTGCAATTTTCTGCGCTTTTCAAGGAAATTTTATTGTCTTTTTCTGAAAAGAAAACCCAACTATGAAACAATTTATTAGCGTTAACAGAATAGATGCAAAATTACAACATATAACAACAAAAAACTAACAACAACAACGAACGAGTTAAAAATTTCTATTTATTTTTGCAGCTTAGGCTATTGTGACATCTTGAATTGCAGAGTCGGCCATCCTTTTTGCACGAACATCGATTGGATGAGCATTTTCCAGCACATAAGCAATGTTTATGGCCTAATAGAACACGCAAAAAATGAAATAAAGTTATAGTTACTTACCTTGTTTCCCGTGAATAGAAGAATCACCGATGGCGGCACGAAAGGAAGTTGAACATTCCGGCACATCAGCAATAACAAGGAAGTTCGTCTCACAAGGATAGAGTTGATTTCTTGAAAACTTCTGTGGTAGAGTCCCATTCGCCGTCCCAATCGTGTAAAGCCCATCGATTGCTTTAAAAAAATGGTTTAAGTGAATTTAATCGAAACAAACCTTCAGTGACAACGCCCAAAAGATTTCGGTGGCCAATTTTTGGTCGATCAACCGGATTAATTGGAATTCTTACGTTCTTTCCAACATCCAAAGGTTGAAATCTAATGGTGCACATTAGGTGAAACCGAAAAACGATGATAAAAGAACCTCTCTTTAGACGCTTGTAACATCTTGTCGGCTTGTTTTATTAGACTTGAACGGGCACTATCTCTTTCTGCAAGTATTTCAGCATCCTGTGCTGCAAAATTGAATCCTTTACCTATTTTTATAGCGTTAAAAATAAAAAATAAAACAAACCTGAATCATCGCTATTTTCATCTTTGTCGCCAATTTCCGCACTTTTTTTGTAGACTTGCTCCTAAATTTTTAAAATATAGATTAAAATAAACAATAAACAAAACAAACCAAATTTTCGGACGCAAATTCCGGTTGATTCAATTCGTTCCCATTTGAATCATCACTAAGCAAAATAGTTTGGAATCTATTAGGTAAATAATTTCAGACATACCTTACTTCTCGTTCATCATCATAGTCTTTACCAAACATTGCGGCAAATGGAGTTCTTCTGATTCCATGGTGATATCTTCTATTCTTTATGATAATAATATGATAATACCATAATATCCTCGGAGATTTTGCCACATCAAGTTTATTCCAGCGTGTCCAAGTTTTTTGTGTGTTTCGTGTAAGAGCTGAAAGACCGCTTCTCGCTTAATCACTCGTTGTTGTGCTGGCATCTCTCCGCTGCCATTTTTCTCGCCCACATGATAAAGCTGCGCTCCCTTTTGTTCAATCACGAGCGCAAATCTTTTCAGCAAGTTGTTTTCGTGGTAGTTTTGAGGTAGTTTTGGTTTCTCGCAGTTTTCACGATGATTGTGGAGCGTTTCAACCATCAAATTGTAGGTTTCAGCGGTTGGAATTTGTCCTCTTTTCTTCTTTTGTAAAAACACGTCAAATTCTTGGTCAAAAACGTCCTCCATCTGTAAAAAAGCAGCATTTAATAGGAAAACAAGAAAACAAAAAATTCTCAAGAAAAGACAATAAAATTTCTTTGAAAAGCTGAGAAAATTGCAAAAAACGCTTAAGAACATACAGTAGCGGACATAATTTTGGAAACTTTTGTTTTTTCTAAAAAAATTCTCTCAGTAAAATCTGATTCGGTATGTTTACTAGCGAAAATATGTAGACCTAAAAAGCACGTAATAATCCATAGACAGAACTGCTGAACTCTTTGAAAACTATTATTTTTAATGCATTTATCTATAAACCCAGAGGACATAAATTTGGAAACTTTTAAAAGCAACTCTAAATAATAACGTAACAAACCATTAAACTTCTAAATTAAAACAAAAACAAATAAATCAATTCAATACTTTGTGGAAGATCCTTTAGGATCAATAATAGTCTGGCACCGAGCGCTCATCGAAGCGACCAAGTTGTCGATGGTTGTTGTTTGAATTTCCATCCACTTCTTAGCCAAAAGCTCGAATTTTTCATTAAGATTATGGCTCTGAACGCCTGACAGGCTCTCTCCAGAACTTCCTATAGATGTTCAATATGGTTTAAATCAGAACTCTGGCTCGGCCATTCCATAAAATAATTCCTTCCTTCTGAAGCCACTCCTTTACAAGCCCCTCGAAGTATGTTTGCCCTGTCGAAAAAGAAAGTTGGAAGGCATCAACTGAAAGGCATTCAACTGGAGGGAAGCTTATGTTTCGATAAAATGTCCAAGCAAGCACGTTTGTCTATAGTTCCATCAGTGCATTTTAATGGGATCATTCCGTAAGCTGAAAAGCCACTCCATACAAGATCACTACCACCGTCATGCTTCAAAGTCGGAATTACGTATCCTTTACTGAACCTTTTGTTGGCATGACGACGAACATATCGAAAGCCATCAGATTCAAACAATGCGAACTTACCTTCGTCCGAAAAGAGGCAAATAGACCATTGTTGAGCCGTCCAATATCGATGCTCTTCTGTGATTTTGCCTCGAAGCTTGCGAATCTTTGCAGAGATCAGTGGCTTATGAGCAGGACGTCGACCAAACAATCCAAATCCGCGTAAATGACGTTGTACTGTCTTTGAACTAATTTTCTTTTTGACTTTGTCAGGCAAATCGGCGTAAATCTCGACCGACGACTGCTTTGGGTCAGCCTTTGAAAGAGTATTTCATCTGCAAACCATCTCGTTTTGTGGTCTTTCTGTGTTTTCCCGTATGCTTATGAGTATTTGCTGTTCCAGTTCGAGCGTATCTTTTTAAAATTTTTGATACAGTACTCTTTGAAAGACCAAGGGATCGAGCGATAAATGTCTGCATTTGCCTATTTTGGTGCATCCATACAACATCTTCGCGTTTCTTTGTTGAAGTCTCTTTCTTGCTGCCCATCTATAAAAAAAAGTTAAAATAATTAGTAGAGGTTTAAAAAGATAAAAATAGAACAAAAAAGTAATATAGCTGAGGTTTTTATGAAAGTTTCCAAATTTATGTCCTCTGGGTTTATAGATAAATGCATTAAAAATAATAGTTTTCAAAAAGTTCAGCAGTTCTGTCTATGGATTATTACGTGCTTTTTAGGTCTACATATTTTCGCTTGTAAACATACCGAATCAGATTTTACTCAAAAAAAATTTTTTAGAAAAAACAAAAGTTTCCAAAATTATGTCCGCTACTGTATATTAAGCACGTTTATTATTGTTCGATCTGTATCGGACGTCCGATATAGACTGTAATTAATAAAAGACCTTTGAAAATGCAGAAAACTACAGAAAACGCTTAAGAACATATATTAAACATGTTTATATTATTGTTCAATCTATATAAGACGTCCGATTTAGATTGAATCTAAATCGGACGTCCGATATAGACTGTAATCTAAATCGGACGTCCGCGATAAGTTCAATCTAAATCGGACGGAAATCTAAATCGGACACAACATATACATCCCTGTAAAAAATTTCATTCATCATTTTGCAGTTTTATTTACAAGGAAACCTGTATCGGCAAAAAACTCCTATCAGCAAAAAAATGGCTTAAGGAAAACGTCGAGAAAAGGGAGGAAAGCGCATCAATTTAACGGCATTCTCTTGCGAAATTTCTAGTTTTCAATCAGTTGGACTCATTTTTGGATACAAAATCACTGGCTTTATTGCAAATCAAGTATTAGAAAAGCATTTGGCTACAAATCTCTTTAAAAAACTCACTTCAACCGTCAAATTGAGTGATTCGCCAATGGATCAATCGACGGTTTGTTACTTTTAAGTTTTCTAGAGTTGTTTATTTACTAGCCTAAAGAGAGGGTCCGAATAGGCACCGATTGTCGAAAAGGGATCGATTTAAAACCTAATTGTCGGCGATTAGGCGTAGTTATATATTTTTGAATTCTTATTTAGAAGTGGCTAAAGTAAATCGGTAAATCATTTTTTGGCTGCCCAAAAAACACCATTTCCGCAGGGATTTTTCTTTTGCATTGTCGATAATACAAAAAAAAGCTTGAGCTGCAAATATGTACAGAAATTATATTACTACATCTACTTGCAGGTTTTAGCGAGAATCGGCCCTAATTCGATCGCTCCCTTAAGTCATTAATAAGCGGTTGTTTAGTAAGCGGTTGTCAGGGTGTCATTAGTAAGCGGTCATTAGCAGTATTAGTAAGTCGTAACTTTCAGATTTCTGAATTAAGCCTTTATTCTTCATTCTTTTACAGAATGCTTTACCCCGAACTGCTTCCCAGTCAGTCATAATTGACTGCGAGAAAGATGTCCAAGGAAAAGCGAGAATTCTCGCGGCTCGAATTCCTAACGATTATCGTCCAGATTTGGTAGGATTTGTCAAAGGATTTGATTCTTAAGTTAGCATACATATTGGTGTCTTAACCTAGTAAGTAAAGCACTTTCTATTGCTCTGTAAAGTAATCAGTTGAACACTGATTACCGAATTATACCTTTTACCTTTTTATTTGACCTTTTTCTTTATTAAGAATGACACAAGCCATCGCCCCGAAGCCCTAGATGATTCGATCTATCACAAATTGGGTGAAGGGACCACAGGAATTGCTGTGTAAGAACTTTTTGAGCATTTTTCACCCCACAGAAACTTGAGTATAGATCTATTTCTGTAGAAAAACGTAGAGCTTATAGTTAGCAAGCTAAAAACTCATAACAAACAAATTCCAGAGCAGCTGTCCGCAAAGTCAAAGGCGTTTTTGGGGAAATTCAGAGAGAGAAAGTGGTTTTGAAGAAGTAACTTTTACTTACTCACAGAATTTCACCCTCATTTTTTAGATACAACATCACTAGCTTTATTGGAAGTCAAAGACAAGATGAATACACTTCGATGCTTCGAGAATTCCAAAATCTTCAATATTTGATGCACGACAATGTGAGACCTAAATAGAACTTAAATACAATAATAAGTTTAGATCGCTGAAATGAAGGATTCTTTTTGGAGTCTAGATGAGAAAGGAAATTTGAATCAAGTTTGGATTGTCACGGAAAGAATCGACTTCAGGCTATCGGATTTTTTCAGGTTTGATAGATTTACTAGTGTTGATATCAAGTGCAAGTCAAATTCAGACAAAAAGCGAAGAAAGACAATACGGCAACGCCAGAGCCACGTGATCATCGTCATCTTGGCTCAATTCTCGTTCAGATTTTGCGACCCCTCGATTACTTGCATCAACGCGGGATCATGCATCGCGTCGGTTTAAGCATATTTTCAATTCAATTACCTTTGAAACTCTCTTGGCAAAATTCTCTTGCTAAAATGAGACCAAACAAACAAACAGACCAAACAAAGTCGATACAAAAACTTCATTTTTAGGTTATTCTGTTATACCATACTTAAACAACAACAAGATTTCAGGATGTAAAGCCAGACAACATTGGAATCAGCAAGCAGTGCCACTTGAAACTCTTTGATTTTGGCGTTGCAAGGTCGGTCCACAAGAAATTGCTTTACTCTTTGAATTCTAGGCCAACTAACACCGTAAAAGAGCTGACACAATTGGTTTCTACACCTCTATATCATCCGTTAGAAGTGCAACTGTTAGAGCCATACGATTGGGGAGGTAATTTAACTTCAAAGCTTCTGAGTCGAGCTGTTTAGTTGACATTTGGGCAACCGGCTTGGTGGCACTTGAATTTCTCAATCATCCATTCTATCCGGCAAGTGTGAACTCGGTTTGTGACTATTCTTCTCGCTAAAGTGTTTCTAAAAGGTGCTCTAAGAAAACCTACCGTAATCCAGGAGTTGATTTGGCGGGCTTAAAAAGTGCACTACGAAAACCTACCGTAATTCAGTCATCTTTGTTTTGCAGCACGTACTGGTACTAGATGTCCGGGTCCTCTTACGCATTCAAGATTAAGAGATATAGGCTCAGAGAAGGTTAAAGTACGTAGAGTAGTTGTACGTAAAAAAGCATTGAAAGGTTCCACAATAAAATTTTCACAAAAAAAAAAGACAGCAAGCGGTGTTATTGATTTAATGATTTAAAAATGCGAAAATCTAGGTAGAGAAGTATGAATAAACGGTGCAATGAGTTGCGAAAATGATTGTTAGCTATTAGCCGATTAATTTTAGAAATTTTTTGTTGAACACCTTTAAATTGTGGAGAAAAGCTGGAAAAGGTGAAATGATTTCGAGCAAGCGACTTCAAGAGCGCGATTTACTCGCGTTAACAAGGAACCAACTTTTCCATTCATGCTACTATTACAGCTTTTGCGGTAACCGGAGTACGGTAGCTTTTCCCAAAGAGCGAGTTTTAGAATCCGGTTCGGCTAAAGAACAAAATCCGGTTGCTTTGAGCAACATCTAACCTTTTAGACAGACAAAATCAAACAGAGAATTCTTGACGTTTTTGGTGTGCCGGGGGACAAGTACAAAGAATTGTGGGTTCATCAAGAAATTATTAATTACTAGAAATTCCCAATCCTACTAGAGAAATATTTTTTCAGCTTTAAAAACAAGCTGATGAATGAGGCGCAACGCGACGGTTGCTTCAATGCTTTTCTGACCACGGCTTTTAAGCGACTTGCACCCGGACCTCGGGATTTAAATGGTAAGGTATATAGTTTGTATAAAAGTTAAATCCTATCGAAAAAGTGTTAGTTTACAATTTATCCGATCAAAAGGTATTGAGTTGATGGTTTCAGAGGAAAATTTGCGGGATCTTCTCAGCCAAATGCTCTGCATCAACCCGCGAAGACCCCTGGCAAGCGTGCTTCTCGAGCATAACTATTTGAGAGCAATGAATGTAAAAGTTGATTCACTATTAGTTTTTAGATTTTGTTTTAGAGCGAAATCACGCGGAAACACGTTCAAATCTCGGCCAACGATCATCACGCGAAAAATCAACGCGACAAGGAAACGCTGATCAAAATGCTCAAGAATTTTTCGAGACAATTGTGAGAATGAAATAAAATAATGCTAGTGTTGTCCACCTTTTTTTGTATTTTTGTTTGAAAATAACCAATTCACCGCTTGACCTATCACGCGAAATAAGGCAAAAAAATCAAAATAGGATTTTTACGTTTGAATAGCCAATTGACGTCGAAAAATGGGGGGGGGGGGGTAGTCAAAACAGCGCCATAATAGAAAACGTTCAAAACAGCGCCGTCAAATTTCTCAAAATCCAAAAAACCAAGCCGGTTCAAATGGATGCCAATATTTTACATAGATCTAGTGTCATTCTAACGGTGTATCTAAATCTAACTCCTACGACGTGTGGATTTGAATCAGTCCGATATTGAATACATCAAAGGCAAACTGGTATTGCTTAGATAGAGACCTCCAGTTCGTTATCGCCCGTTACCAAACAGCGATAAAATGGCAAAAAAAAATGACTCACAACAAATTGATTTCTGCCTTTTCTGAGAAATTCTAATAGTTCTTATTGCGAACAGTGCTCTATTTTTAGACTATAAAAAGAAGATTTAAAGTAAAACCCTAGCAAACTGATAATTTTGTGCAAAAAACCGTTTCACTAACTAAAACGCAACCAATCCGAATCGAACCGAGACCGAACGAAAAGGAACTCTTAGATACGATCCTCCCGAACTACGCCTGTTGGGGGCACTTTTTTTTCTTCGAAGCCACATTGGATGGGCGCGCACTTTGGGGCCCCGAAACTCGGCCGAAATTGATATATGCCTTTTCTGGGAAATTCTAATTATTGTTGCAAACAGTGCTTGTGACAGATCGTGGTATCCAAATGTTTTGGCCGATAATCAGCGTCCATCCAAAATAGGAACAAGGGGCAATTTAGGGATTTGTGGTTTAGGGGCAATTTGTTGAAAAGTTTCTTTGAGTCTAACTTTTGGTGATGATATTCTTGTTTAACGTAGTACATTAGTACATAGTAGAAATGTGCACTTGGTCCGTATCAGTTGGTCCGATCTCGGTCCAGTCCGGACTGAGACCGGACCGAGACCGAAAACCGGCCGGGGACCGGACCGAGTGCACAAGTCAATCAAGACTATAAAGCAATCCTTCGAGAGTTCCAAAATCTTCAATATTTGATGCATTACCATGTGGGACCTAAATCAAATCTGATCTAGAAGTAAGTGGCCGTTTAGATTGCTACAATAAAGGATTCTTTTTGGAGTTTTAGCGAGAAAGAAACCTTAAATCATGTGTGGATTGTCACGGAGAGAATGGACTTCAAGCTATCGGATTTTTTCAGGCTTGTAGGTCATCTGAGCCATCATTAACGGGTTTCTGGATGAAATTCAGAACTGCAGCGAAAAAAGACGATACGCCAACGGCAGAGCCACGTGATCATCGCCATCTCGCATCGATGCTTGTCCAGATTTTACAAGCACTTGCCTATTTGCATCAACGGGGAATCATGCATCGAGTTGGTTACGTGTGATAGCATTTAGGCTTTGTTGTTAAACTTCTATTTTCTGAATCCAAAAACCCCGGGTTTTTCCGAAAAGCCAAAACTCACGGGCTAAGCCAAAACCAAGAAACAGTGTAAGTATTTTTGTCCTCCTTAAATACCGCCCTTGATAAGAGTCTTTCAAAGAGAGTCTTGTCAACTTTGGCATTTGAATTTCCTTTAAACAAAATGTTCAAGTGTGATATTTCTTTTCTTTATTTTCTTTCTTTGATTATTTTGTGTCAAGGAGAACATCGGTTATTAAAGCTAACAGAAAGTGATCCAGGATATGCTATTCATGGAGGAAACTTGAGAGACTTGGAGGTTGTCTTTGATTTCAAAATCTCAAACCCTTTCTTTTACCATAACTTTCGAGTACAAGAAATCTAGAGTCTCGTTTTGATTCACAACTGCCAATCCTGCACTTTCGTTCTTGATTTCACGCAAAGAGACTGCGAAAACGAAAGTTTTGATCAAGACATTCCTTGCGCTGATCCGATTCCATTCTCTGTTAATGGCTACATTTTGGAAAGAGATCGATGTGATGATATGATGTAAGGAGCTAAGCAATTCCTCGTCAAGAAAAACTTCAGTCCATACACTTCTGATCCCACCAAATATTTGTACAGTTGTTCACTTGTTATTGAAGAGATTCAACGATTGATTATTAGACCTCAAACTTCTGTGCTGAAAATTGAATATGCTGTAGCGATTCGAGTAAAGGAATGGGTTGATGGTAGTTTTTGAGTCGAGCTTAGTTGAAGAGATTGCTAAGCCCTAATTGCCGGGTACTGTACCTGGCCGAAACAGGTACTACTGCCTAGCCGGGTACTGCATGAGAGCTAAGCAAGTATTACTTGGTCATGTACTACCTACGTACTACCCTCGGCCATTGGCAATCCAACTTTGAGCTCAAAATTCCTAATGTTGGGCTGTCCAATTTAAATGGTTTTTAGTACCAATCGACAGAGAAAGACTTGGCGCATCGAATGGTATTAAAAATATTTAAATTGGATAGCCCTATACCAAGATATTTGAGCTCAAAGTTAGATTGCCAATGGCAAAAGGGGCGGGGCTTATCAGATGTCCGATAACCTGATGGTGATGTGATAAAATCTGACCTGACTTGGCTAACCATTGAGGTTGACCTCTTGATGTGCTAATCGAACTTTCAGCTACCCGTAGCCTAATCGTTCTTCCCGGTGAACGAGATTGTCAAAAACCAAACATTGCCTTGATCAACGCTGATTACGCTGCTGTACTTGTCGCTCATCCAGACGCTATAGAGTTAGCAAATTTGCAAATCAATAAATAAATGATCTAGAAAGAATGGTGGTCCATTTCTCCAGATTGTTGCTGGTCCTACAAATGTCAAGAGACTGGTCAACTTCTACTGTGAAAGTCTACAAGCAAGTGATTTGGAGCTTTGGATTTCGAACTTTGAAAAGCTATCAGTGCTTCTATTCTTTCAGGATTACGTCACTTGTGGAGATCATGTTGAAGTTTTTGTTTATTATGGCGTGAGCAGACCTCTTGTGAATTTGTCCAAGAATTTCCTCGAGCAGACCAGGTTAAGCTATTTTTAGACTTAACCGTTTTGATAAGAGAACAACGACAATCGCTTGCAAACAGTGGGTTTAAAAATAGCAAAAAAAATAGCAAAAAGATAGATTTGAAAAATGTACATAACATAAATTTCAGTTTTGCGGACGCAACCGTGATCCCGGTCCACTCTTCGGTAGTCACTGTGATGGTTAATGAGAGTTGCAGCTACTGTTTGATACATGCTGCTAATAATGTCACTACAAGTAAACTTTGTAAAAAGTTCAGTGGATTTAAAAATCATTCAGCTTATTATTCATACTATGAAGAAGATCAGCATACTTATACGAGCTATGAATACCCATGGATCTTCGCTGATAACGCTAAATACGCAAATAGCTGTTTGAAAATCAATATAGAAAACAAATTGGTATGTAGAAATATGCGAAAATAAAATAGACGTTTTTACACGTGCTTAGCCGTGTTTAGATGTTAAAATAACCATTTTTAGACAAATAAACACACAATCTTGACCTTAAACGTTGAAAGGATAGAGAATGGAGCGTTGAACATTACTGGATATGAGAACCTCTCGGCTAGAAGTGCGACATGCGATTTCAAAAAGAAAAAGAATTTTACGAGGTTTGCATAAATGGCTCAACGAAATTTGAGTCAGCTTTAGGGTGGAACAACCACAAATCGTTGACACCAATCTGCAGTGTCTTGAGGTAAGAAGAGGATGATAGGCGGGATCCAATCGATCATAGGCGGGCTCCAATCAATCATAGGCCGGCTCCAATCGATCATAGGCGGAATCCAATCCGAAAATAACGAGTACTATAACTTTGATTGAGTCTACAGTATGTCGTCTTAGTATCCAGTAGTATCCAGCATAGTTATACTAACCCTGCTAAAGTTTAGGCTACAAGAGTACGGCGGGATAACTATATACTTCTGTACTTGCGGCTCTATTCTTAGAGAATAACTCTTAGAATGTTGAATAATGATTGATATGCATACCGTATTCTCTCTAAGGGTAGTGCCGAGTTGATGACTATTTTATGGTTTCCAAGCTTTTGCAGAAGCTCAATACTCTAATTCCCCACAAGATCTCATCGTCAGCTACATTTTCCGACCCCACATCGATAGACTCTGATAAGCGCTTTTCGAGATTTCGAGCAATTTAGGCGTCGCTCATGGTGCACTACTACGAGAGAGAATACGGTATTTTGGAATTACTGTTGCTTTATAGATTCTCTGGTGTCCATATAACATCTCAAGGCAGCGTACAGGCTATTTGATGCGAACGGAATGGAATCGATTCTACGTATTCACATGTAAAAGTCACATCTACGAACTGACCGAGGCCGAACCAACAATGGCTTTTTTTGGGTCATATCTACACAAGTTATATCTACGAGATGGTTTGTTTTTATACAATTAGTCAATTTTCAACAACTTCATTTAGAGGAGCCCATTTGTCTTAGCCTAAAGGACTGCTTTAGTTGTGATGTTCTGATTAATGTCATCAGCTATTGTACAAATGAGAAAGTATGTGCTTTTGTTGCAAATCAAAAAACAATCTAGAATTCGAGTTGTGAAATAGCACCGTTTATGATCAATGGAACGAATATTACCCTGTCGCGTTGTGAGAAAACGTGAGCCTTATTGACATTCATTGGAATTCCTGCTAACATTCTTGCTGACACTGACAGTCCTTGGAGCTCTTGCTAAAGATGTTCCAAACTCCTGATTAAAACCAAGCCAGATCAGACAAATTGATTTGATCTTCTGACCCTGACTTACCGGCTTTCTGAGACATTACTTACTCCAATGATTAAAAATTATCTACCTGGTTTTCGGTGTGGTTTTTTTCGAATAAAATCGAATCGGTTCAGACCGGAAGTCCAAAAATTTTCCCAATCAAACTAATGTAAAATTGATCTAATTCTTCCAATTGCCCATATTAGAAAATTGTTCTAACTCAAAAATAGTTGTTGTTATTTTAAATTCAAACTTCAGAGCATCATTTCTAGTGCACTGAATCACTGAATGGTTCTTGCCTTAACTCAACCTCAAATAACGCATGCGATAACTTAACAAAATCGTCTTCGAATCGAATCGAATCGGTCCAAGCCGCTAAAGAAAGGGCCATATATACGCGAACGACAACGAGTTACTGTAGTTGAACGCTTTTAAGGTTCAACTCGTGCCAAAAAAGCGAAAGGGCACAAAATAGAGGTGAAGCAAATGCAAAAATGATCTAAATAAAATGTAAAATTTGCTAACTTCTTGCTAAAAGACTACCGTAAGCAGGAAAATGTCAATCGAATCGAGTCAGTTCGAATCGGACTAGTTCGAGTCGGTCGAAAATTACAATTTTTCGGTTCTAATCGAATCGGTTCAGACCGAAAATGGAAAATTTTCGAATCGAATAGAATTCGGACAGATTCGATTCGGTTTTGAATCGATTTTGAATCGATTCGACTCAAATTTGGATCGATTCGATTCAATTCGATAACCAGGTCTACCATTTACGACCTGATTTTGTCAATATGTGCACAGATAAACCCTAAAAACCCAGTAATCCTTTGCTATCCCCTTTTTAGTTTCGATTCTTTGATGAATCTGACTTCTTATGAATGTTATTATAAACTCAGTGGTCAGATCATAATAAATTTGATCGATGGAGTTGATTACACAAGAAGCTCCATTTCATTCAGAGCCTTTAAATGGATGGAAGGTCAGTGACGTTCTAAAGCACATACCCAGTTATACCCAATTTCAAAAGCTGCAAACTTTCTAGATTCTGTTGACTTCAAATTGATTACAATGAGTCGTGATGACAAAGTGGGAAACATTCGAATGAAATTTGATAGATTTGACTATCCAATTTGGCTTTTATTATCCGTTGGTGAAGCTGATTGGATCAAATACTTGCGGAAAGTTCGATGGGTAAGTTTTTAACCTCAACCAATATTATCTAAGATTCAGACTGAGCTTTTAGTTAGTTAGAGCTGATTTCTAGATTGTTAGATCTAAGATTTCAGGATCATCACGATAAAGACTGTGAATATTTGCTTATTGAAGGTTCTCCACCGGGAAAAGTGAAAGATCTAAGTCGAGAATTGGCGATTTTTAGGTAAAAATTGTTTTATTTAATTAGATTCTGACCCTTTTAGAGATCAAGATTTATTTTTTCCACAGTTTTTGCTCTCAAGAATGTACTCGTTGCTCATTCCACCCAATTGCTCTCCAACAATTGTGATGAGCTCAGAGCGTGAGTTTTTCTGAAGTTATCATAGAAATTAAATTTAGAAATTAAATTTAAAACCTTTTTAAGCATTTTAAAAGTTGCTAAAGCTTCGTTTTCAGCGATTGAGTTCGGCAAAACCATTCCTGAACAAGAATTGTGTGCTGGAACTGCATTAATCATCACTCCATACTATCACAAAGAAACGAAAGACGAGATTGTTTTAGATTTCATTATGTACAACTTTTATTGCTGTAAATGATCAATCCTTTACTTTGAAATCATTTCTTTAGATCGATTTCTAATCAATGTGATTATTGAAGTGATCGAAGTTGAGTCTGGAGTGGTTACGGTTGAATTTCGAGATTATTTCAACAAAACGCGGAGCAATGAAACGTAGAGATTAGATTTTTTACTAACTAAGCTTTTTTTAGATTGATTTTTATGGAAGATTTGTATAAATCGGGAAATTATTCAGTGAAAGAAGTGACGAGTATTTTTGTAAGTTGTCAAAGGCAAAATGAGAGGAATTTGAAGTTTAAGCTTTCTATTTTCGATTCTTGCTCAAATTTACCAAATTCTAAAAGTACATTGAGTTTAATTAGAGTAGGTAAAACTATTTCATCTAATCAGAGCTCAAGAATCAAAGCCAAAGCTCCACCAGAGTCAAATCCAACCTTTCTTCACAGCAGACTTGATCAGATTGAGCAGATACAAAGCGTAAGATTCGATTGGAGGCTGTAGAAAACCAGATAACTTTTTAGTACAATTTACTTTAAAGTAACTTTACTTTAAAGTAACATTACTTCTTGATCGTGACTTTGATTTCAAATTTCCCTTTAGATTTCAATGAATAGCACTGACGACGATGATTGGCCGGATAACATCTTTCTTCGCATTCATGTTGTCAACTCAAATCTTTTAAACTCACATTCAACGCCCATTCCAATTCCAACAACACTGACACCAATAACAAATTGTGTGAACCATTACAGTATATCTTTAATGATTATCTTCTCTATATTCTTATCTTTGCACAGCTTTTAGCTAATAAACTATTCTTAAACGTAAAAACTTTGCAAAAACATTTTCGAAATACCTCCAAAGATGACGCAAGAAAAAGGAACAGTCACAAATTGATTTTCCGCGTTTTCTTGTCAAATTTATTGAATCTTGTTGATAAGAAACTTGACTGATTTACTAGATATCGTAAAATTTCGTTTTGAAATTCTAATTCTATTCTTCATTTGTTAAGATGACTGAGGCTATGGTTTTTTATTTAACAAATTTACATTTGTAAAAGAAAATGATTATTTAAACAAAGCTCTACTGTTGTCTTACTACATTGGTAAGCTTTACGAGTACAAGAAGAAAAGAAAAGTCACATTTGAACATTTTGTTTAGAGAAAATTCAAATGCCAAAGTTGACAAGACTCTCTTTGAAAGACTCTTATCAAGGACGGTATTGAAGGAGGACAAAAATACTTACGTCTGCAGTGTAATGACGAAAAGCAACAGTTTTTAGGACTTTGATAGAAGAAATAACTGAATTGTGCTCACAAAAGGTTTACTCATTGATCGAGAAACCGTAATGTACCGTACAGAATGTAACAAGACAGATCTGGTTCTATTTAGCATATCAAGAAGACCAGCTATTGCATTGGTCTGTAATATTTTTTACGATCTCATTTATTCATTCCGTTCCCTACACCTGGTTAGAAAAGTTTTTAAGCACGTTGAGCAAGATTTTCTTGTCACGTTCGTTCTTTGCCACATGGTCGTTGGCTGAGATCGATGGATACTTTCTTAAGATAGCTGCCTGAAAAGCTAGTTGTAAATAGAGTTTAATAAAGGCTTACATTTATTTCTTTTAAATAGGCGTGGCGGAGAAGGTCGTTGGCCAACGGTCGTCGGGGATTGATTGTCAACAAACGAGTGAGTAGGTCCTTTAGGTTCTTTTCTGTAACGAGTACTGATTGAATTCTGTTAAAGGAATAAGAATCTTTAGTAGAATATGCTTCAATAGTGTGTTCTCTAAAACTTAAACTTATCTTTACCGTCTCGTAATCTTGTAACTTAACATCTAAAAAGCATCAACTTTCAAAAACAACCGTAACCTCTTTAGTGGTTCATTCACTAATATCATAATAGCCCAATAAAAGTTGCATCTGCTATGTTATAAATCGCCTACCATTCAAATCTTTAACACTAGGTCCAACCCTCTTCAAGCCCTCATCCAAAAAAGCCTCAAAAGTTGATTCACGCAATTGCTCTGCTTTCAACCTGTCCCCGAAACTGAAACGCTCGATTGAGGCAACTTTAGACTTGGTTTCATATGCTTCAATAGTGTGTTCTCTAAAACGTAACGTGTCTTTATCGTCTTGTAATCTCTTACTACCAAACCCGTTGACCAAATGTCAACTACAGTAATTGAGCTTTCAAATTTCAGTGCTAGCAGTCAAGCGTACCTCCGCGATCGTATTGTTGCCCTAATTGCACTTCCAGCGGCTGAAATAAAGGAGTTGAAGCCATGTGTGTCCTATTGTCGATTGTGTTGATCGACCTGAAGCGGCCATGTTTTCCTAGCAGTAGCCAGCAATACAATTCTGGCAACTGAAAGCGTTTACACTGAAAATCTACCCATCTAGCAACACCAAAGTCACATATTTTCAAGTGACTATCAGTGTTAATTTCGATGTTTTGCCGGCTTCACTGTAAAAAGAAAAACTGTAAAAAAAGACAAACCGCGGCTTGATCTTTCGTTGGAACGAGCATATTACAGAATAAAATATGTTGCCAATAGGATAGTCACAAAAGTTGCGCACTGTTTGCAACAAGAACTATTAGAATTTTCCAGCAAGGCATAAATCAATTTGTTGTGAGTCATTTTTCTTTTGCCAAATTATGACTGCTGGGTAACGGGCGGTAACGAACTGCAGGTCTCCATCTAAGCAATACCAGTTTGCTTTTGCCGTACTCAATATCGGTCTGATTCAAATCCACACGTCGTAGTAGTTAGATTTAGATACATAGAAAGTTAGAATGACACTAGATATGTGTAAAATATTAGCATCATTTATTCCATTCTCACAATTGCCTAGAAAAGTTCTTGAGCATTTTCAGCAACGTTTCCTTGTCGCGTTGATTTTTCGCGTGATGTTCGTGGGCCGGGATTTGAACGTGTTTCCTCGTCATGTCACTCTAAAACAAAATCTAGAAACTAATAGGGAATCAACTCTTACATTCACTGCTCTCAAATAGTTATGATCGAGAAGCACGCTTGCCAGGGGTCTTCGCGGGTTGATGCAGAGCATTTGGCTGAGAAGATCCCGCAAATTGTCTTCTGAAACCATCAACTCAATAGATTTTTGAGTGGATAAATTGTAAACTAACAGTTTTTCGATAGTTTAGAATGCAAAGGATGTATCTTACCATTAAAATCCCGAAATCCGGGTGCCAGTCGCTTAAAAGCCGTGGTCAGAAAAGCATTGAAGCAACCGTCACGTTGCACCTCATTCATCAACTTGTATTTAAAACTGAAAAAATATTTCTCAAGTAGGTTTTAGGAATTTCTAGTAATTAATAATTTCTTGATGAACCCACAACTCTTTGTACTTGTCTCCCGGCACACCAAAAACGTCAAGAATTCTCTGTTTGATTTTGTCTGTCTAAAAGGTTAGATCTTGCTCAAAGCAACCAGATTTTGTTCTTTAACCGAAGCGGATTCTAAAACTCGATCTTTCGGGAAAGCTACCGTACTCTGGTTACCGTGAAAGCTGTAATAGTAACATGAATGTAAAAGTTGATTCCTTGTTGACGCGAGTAAATCGCGTTTTTAAAACATTAACACTGCTTGCTGCCTTTTTATCTTTTATTGTGGAAATTTACTTTACGATACTTTTTTTACGTAGAACTACTTTACGTACTTTTAGCTTCTCTGAGCCTATATCTCTTAATCTTGGATCCGTAAGAGGACCCGGACATCTAGTACCAGTACGTGCTGCAAAACAAAGATGACTGAATTACGTTAGAGTTTCGTAGTGCACCTTCTAAGACCACCAAAACAACTCCTGGATTACGGTAGGTTTTCTTAGAGCACCTTTTAGAAACACTTTAGCGAGGAACAGTCACATACCGAGTTCACACTTGCCGGGTAGAATGGATGATTGAGAAATTCAAGTGCCACCAAGCCGGTTGCCCAAATGTCAACTAAACAGCTGAACTCAGAAGCTTTGAAGTTAAAGTACCTCCCCAGTCGTATGGCTCTAACAGTTGCACTTCTAACGGATGATATCGAGGCGTAGAAACCAATTGTGTCAGCTCTTTTACGGTGTTAGTTGGCCTAGAATTTAAAGAGTAAAGCAATTTCTTATGAACCGACCTTGCAACGCCAAAATCAAAGAGTTTCAAGTGGCACTGCTTGCTGATTCCAATGTTGTCTGGCTTTACATCCTGAAATCTTGTTGTTGTTTAAGTATGGTATAACAGAATAACCTAAAAATGAATAGTTTTTGTATCGACTTTGTTTGGTCTGTTTGTTTGTTTGGTCTCATTTTAGCAAGAGAATTTTGCCAAGAGAGTTTCAAAGGTAATTGAATTGAAAATATGCTTAAACCGACGCGATGCATGATCCCGCGTTGATGCAAGTAGTCAAGGGCTCGTAAAATCTGAACGAGAATTGAGCCAAGATGACGATGATCACGTCGATGTGGCGTTGCCGTATGGTCGTTCTTCGCTTTGTGTCTGAATTTGACTTGTCTGAATATCAACACTGGTAATGCACTGAAACCTAAAAAAATCCGATAGCTTGAAGTCCATTCTTTCCGTGACAATCCAAACTTGATTCAAATTTCCTTTCTCATCTAGACTCCAAAAAGAATCCTTCATTTCAGCGATCTAAACTTATTATTGTATTCAAGTTCTATTTAGATCTCACATTGTCGTGCATCAAATATTGAAGATTTTGGAATTCTCGAAGCATGGAAGTGTATCCATCTTTTACTTGATTTGCAAGAAAGCTAGTGATGTTGTATCTAAAAAATGAGTGCAACTGGGTGAAACTCTGTGAGTAAGTGAAAGTTACTTCTTCAAAACGACTTTCTCTCGCTGAATGTCTCCAAAAACGCCTTTGACTTTGCGGACAGCTGCTCTGAAATTTGTTTGTTATGAGTTTTTAGGCTGCTAACTATAAGCTCTACGGATTTTTGCAGAGATTTGAAATATACTCAAGTTTCTGTGGAGCTGAAAAATCCTCAAAAAGTTCTTACACAGCAATTCCTGTACTCCCTTCACCCAATTTGTGATAGAACGAATCATCTAGGCCTTCCGGACGATAGTCAGTGTCAGTCTTAAATGAAAAGGTAAAAGGTTTTATAATTCGGTAATCAGTGTTCAACTGATTACTTTGCAGAGTAATAGAAAGTGCTTTGCTTACGGGGTTAAGACACCTATATGAATGCTAACTTAAGAATCAAATCCTTTGACAAATCCTACCAAATCTGGACGATAATCGTTAGGAATTCGAGCCTCGAGAATTCTCACTTTTCCTTGGAGATCTTTCTCACAGTCAATTTTGACTGACTGGGAAGCAGTTCGGGGTAAAGCATTCTGTAAAAGGATGAAGAATAAAAACAATTCAGAATTCTGAAAGTTACAACTTACTAATACTATTAATGACCGCTTACTAATGACAACCTTACTAATGACACCCTGACAATCGCTTGCTAAACAACCGCTTATTAATGACTTAAGGGATCGATCGAATTAGGACCGATTCTCGCTAAAACCAGCAAGTGGATGTAGTAATATAATTTTTGTACAAATTTACAGCTCAAGCTTTTTTTGTATTATCTACAATGCAAAAGAAAAATCCCTGCGGAAATGGTGTTTTTTGGTTTTGCTTTTTTGGCTTTTGATGATTTACCGATGTACTTGAGCCATTTCTAAATAAGACTTCAAAATTATATAAATACACCTAGTTGCCGAGAATTTGGTTTTAAATCGATCCCTTTTCGACAATCGGTGCCTATTCGGACCCTCTTTTTAAGCTAGTAAATAAACAACTCTAGAAAACTTAAAAGTAACAAACCGTCGATTGATCCATTGGCGAATCACTCATTTTAACAGTTGTAGTGAATTTTTTAAAGAGATTTGTAGCCAAATGCTTTTCTAATAATTGATTCAATAAAGCCAGTGATTTTGTATCCAAAAATGAGTCCAATTGATTGAAAACTTGAAATTTCGCAAGAAAATGCCCTGAAATTGATGCGCTTTTCTCTCTTTTCTCGACGTTTTTCTTGTGCAATTTTTTGCTGATAGGAGTTTTTTACCGATGCAGGTTTGCTTTGTAAATGAAACTGGCAAAATTATGAGTAAAACATTTCAGAGGGATGTTTACAAAAATCTAATCACAATCATTTGACACTTCTTTTGGTGGGATCGAGTTCATTATGGTCTGAATTTGAAGTGCGAAACTCAATTAGATAATTGTATCTACATTCAGCTCTCTTGTGAACCGACTTTGCAAGGCCAAAATCAAAGAGTTTCAAGTGGCACTATTCCAATATTTTCTGGCTTTAGATCCTGCAATCTTGTTGTTGTATGGTGTGACAGTCACAGAAGAAAAAGGGACACGCTTTCAAGGTGAAAGAAAGGATAAACTGCTAATTTTTATGAACTCTTTTAATCAGAAAAGATAAGCTCTTCCAATTGCTATAAGAATTACAATTATTAGGTTGTTCGGATATAAACGAGCGTTTGCACTGCGTGAGGAAGCCATTGAGATCAACTAACTTCAGAAATTGAAAAAGCTGATTGTCTGATCGTCTTTCCAATGGAGTGGAGATGCTCATCAAAAGTAGAATTTGAACATAGAAACTGTCGAGCAAGTTCACGCGTCGTTTGATATGGATCCGATTCGATTGCAGCCCTCAAAATATCGTTGTCTACCTGAGGTCGAGGAGAGTGTTCATCATCCTCAAGACATTAATCACCATTCCTAAAGCGTCGGAACCGGCTTTCGGCTTTCGGCATCGGCTTTCGAACAATACATCCTTCCCAAATGCTTTGACCAAATCTCGATGGAATTCCGTGGCTGTTTTGCCCAGTTTGAAGTCGTAAAGTAGGCTTATTGATAAGTAAAGTAGACGCGAACTTGATGTTTGAAGTCGGTCATCTAAAGCAAGAAAAAAGATCTTAAAAATAAGAAATTATCCGTATCCAAATATGCACAAGATAACGCACTTTTAAATACAGAAAGACATGTTTTAAAAGCTTCTCTCACAACAATAAGTTTAGCAACGCTTGTTTATATCCGAACAGCCTAATAGTCCAAAAAGAGCAAGTTTATCCTTATAAATTAAGCTAGAATATTTAGATAGTCAATTTCCCATATAACGATTTCTTTGTGAATCTCTGCATTTTCTCCAAATCCTCAATCTTCATGGTCCCGATTTTTGGAGCATTTTAACCTCAAAATAATGAGTCGGCGTATATTTTGGAGCACCAAACTTGAGCACAAGTGAATTTACGAAAGTCTAACTCGAAAATGCTGTAATTTGTTAAGTTTATTTGCTAATTTTCAGTGCCTTGCTTCTAATTGTCCGAAAAAGTACTGAAAAGCAAATCTTTATTTTCGAATTGTGGTCAATGAATCCTTTTTAGCTATTGATTTCCTTCTCACAATTGCGTCGAAAAATTTTTGAGTGTCTTGATCAGGGTTTCCTTGTCACGTTCATTTTGCATTCGTTTGTGATCGTCGAGCGTATTATGGCCCTGATTCTTCAATAGTTCGGCCTAAAAACGTTCATAGGAAGCGTTTACAGGAAAATCGTTTACATTCATTGCTTTCAAATACTTCTGTTCCAGAAGCTCTCTTGCCAAAGTTCTTCGTGGGTTGATGCAAAGCATTTTGCCGAGAAGATCTTGAAAGTTCTCCCCTAAAATTGACTAAGTGGATTGAAATTCTGATGACTCCTGATTTGATGCGACAATACCGTAATGATTCAAGTAGCCAGTTCCCTGGTCTTGGCTATGAGAGCCCCTAAAACCACCAGAAGCCTCAGAGAGCCAAAGCCAGCTAGACCTGGCTTCTAGCCTTGCCCAGCCTCATTTACATCGCTTTCAGCTCAGGTTGAACACCACAGATCCTACCATTCATATCCCGAAGTGGAGGTCCAAGCCGTGTGCAGGCTGTGGTCAGAAAAGCGTTGAAGGTACCGTCACGTGGCTTCTCATTTATCAACTTGTTTTTGAAACTGAAATTTCATCTACTAATTGTTATTTGACATGTGGTAGCGCCCAAACGCCTTTTAGAATGGTTCCTTTAAACGATAGAACTTACAATTCCTGGTACTTGTTTCCTGGCACTCCGAAAACATCAAGAATCCTTTGTTTGATTTTTAAGTGCTAAACATTAGCATAGGTATGTAGAGTCTAATCATGGCAATAAACAGTCACATACCGAGTTTGCAACACTTGTCGGGTAGAATGGATGATTGAGAAATTCAAGTGCCACCAAGCCGGTTGCCCAAATGTCAACTAAACAGCTCAACTCAAAAGCTTTCAAGTTAAAGTACCGCCCCAATCGTACTGTTCCACTAATTGCACTTCAAGTGGTAGATATAGGGGAGTTGAAACGTCTTCCGTCAAAGGTTTCATATCATTGATTGGCCTGAAGATTTAAATATGGCTCACAGTCCCAAAAGACACCTGGCAACTCCAAAATCGAAAAGTTTCAAATTGAATGGCTTGCTGAGTCCAATGTTGTCTGACTTCACATCCTGAAATTTGAATTGCAATTCCATATTAATGTGCCTCAATCAGCGCTGTTCCCAGACTAAAAGCTATCACACGTAACGAACTCGATGCATGATTCCCCGTTGATGCAAATAGGCAAGTGCTTGTAAAATCTGAACAAGCATCGATGCGAGATGACGATGATCACGTGGTGCTGGCGTTGGCGTATCGTCTTTTTTCGCTTGACCTCTGAATATCATCCAGAAACTTGTTAAGCTCATATTACCAACAAACCTGAAAAAATCCGATAGCTTGAAGTCCATTCTCTCCGTGGCAATCCACACATGATTTAAGGTTCCCTTCTCACTAAAACTCCAAAAAGAATCCTTCATTGTAGCAATCTAAAATGCCCATTACTTCTAGATCAGATTTAATTTAGATCTTACATGGTCATGCATCAAATATTGAAGATTTTGGAATTCTCGAAGCATTGCTTTGTAGTCAACTTGATTGTCATTGAAACCTTCAATATTGTATCTAGATCTTTGTAACTTTTCCGGTTTTGGAATTTCACAGTTATAAGATTTCAAAATTTTACTTTTTCAACACAACTCTCTCCGTCCGTGTCCCAAAAACGCCTTTCACTTCACGTACGGCAGCTCTGAAACTTGTCAGCTATGAATTGGGGAATCTGGAGAAAGCAGTAAATTCTTACACAGCAACCCCTGTGCTCCCTTCGCCCAATTTGTGATAGATCGTGGCATCCAAATGTGTTGGCCGATAACTAGCGTCAATCAAAAATAGAAATAGTTATTTAGGGGCAATTTGTTGAAAAGTTTCTTTGAGTCTAACTTTTGGTGATGATATTCTTGTTTTGCGTAGTACATTTCTACATAGTAGAAATGTGCACTTGGTCCGTATCAGTTGGTCCGATCTCGGTCCATTCCGGAGTGAGACCAGACCGAGACCGAAAACCGGCCGGGGACTGGACCGAGTGCACATGTCTAGGACATAGATATATACAATTCATTTGACTACCAATGTTTCAGAAACTCACTAGGTCAGGACGGTAATTACTGGGAATCTTGGCTTCGAGAATTTTCGGTTTTCCATTGGCATGCTTCTCGAGATCAATTTTAATTAGTTGTGACTTGGGTTGTGAAGTTTCCTATGGAATTAATAAAGCAAAATTGACAAATTGACAAACCGTTGATTGATCCATTGGTGAATTGCTGATTCTCGAAATGTTTTCCCGCGTTTCAAGACAAATGTTAACTGCTTTAAATTTTTGCAGGAAAATGTTGCTGAAATCAATAGCTTTTGTGTTTTTGTCCAGTCTCTTTTTCTTAGTCCTTTTACGGGCTTGCGATAAGAGTTTGACAGTCTTAGTTTGCAATGGAGATAAAATAGGTAAAAAAATTATCGGAAATTGATTGAATGATCGTTAGCTCAAACTCAAATGATTGAAATAGTGAAAAACTTTGCAACACAATTAATAGGGAAGGGTTTTGAACGGCAAAGCTTTTGGGCAGACAGTTCAAAAACAGAAAGCCGACAATGATGAGCTCAATAAATCCTTTCATTAATGATATTAACTTTTTATGAATATAATGTCTGTTTATTTACATTCTATTGCGATTTTTAATAATTTGTCGATTCGAATTCTTGAGGCAACTTTTCTTCTGATGAAACTCTCCTTTCCGATAGGTTTCAGATATAGGAAATGTAGCAGAAAATGCCTAAAATTGTGACAAAATCATTAAGCGAATTGCTTTTAGTAAAATTTCTATTCCAGTAAACTTACTGATCAACAAAACAACGCCAATGACGCAAATGATTTGATGAAGATTCAGGATTGAGCCCAAAAATAGGCAGATCGTTTGTGCCACTGCCTGAATGCTTTCGGAATTGAAATGGTGAAGTGAAAAGGTCAAAACTGAACTGAATTGGAGATTTTTTTGACTTACTTGATAAAATTTCGATACACTGAAAGCAATAGCCGGCTCGCCAGCTAATACCTTTGCTGCAGCGACCATTCTCGTGTTGTTCGTCGATCCGTCAAATGTTCCAGTGCTTTGAGAAAAGAAACGTTCTTGAGGCTGCTTAGGCTTTACTATTTGTGATCTATTGAAGATTTTGGAATTCTCGAAGCTTTGTAAACAACTTGATTGTACTTCAAACCTTCAATATTGTATCTAGATCTTTGTTATTTTTCTGGTTTTGAAATTTGACAGTTACAATATCTCAAAATTTTACTTCTTCAACACAGCTTTCTCCGTCCGAGTCCCAAAAACGCCTTTGACTTCACTTACGGCAGCAAGAAGGGTTAGACATAAAGGACCACTTCGCAAAGGACCTTCCAAAAAGGAATGAACCACTTCTGAACTTTGATCTCAAGCTAAATTTGAAGAAGAGAACAAACAGAGGGCTAATCGGTTTGCAACGCAAGATTTTGAAAGTTTTAACTGATCAATAACAAAGCGGCGATGTTGTAAAGTTTTTTAGTTTAAAAAGAGCAAGTTTATCCTTATAAATTAAGCTAGAATATTTAGATAGTCAATTTCCCATATAACGATTTCTTTGTGAATCTCTGAATTTTCTCCAAATCCTCAATCTTCATGGTCCCGATTTTTGGAGCATTTTAACCCGAAAATAATGAGTTGGCGTATATTTTTGAGCACAAGTGAATTTACGAAAGTCTAACTCGAAAATGCTGTAATTTGTTAAGTTTATCTGTTAATTTTCAATGCCTTGCTTCTACAGGGTGCGGCTAAAATATCCGGCGGAACGTACTTTTTGCCATAATACTGCGAAAACTCATTTATTCACGCTTCTTTTTATGTTATGCATTTTTTTATTCTTTTTTATATGTTTCAATTATCTTTTTGATAAATAAGTGATTTAGAAATGAAGCTGGGACGAAAAGAAAAGAGGGCGCTCATCTTGCAAATGACCAAGGATGGACTCAGCGTGATGGATACCGCGAGAAAGCTGAAAATACCGCATCAAACGGTTTCAGATGTGAGGAAAAATTTTGCCACACGTAAGAACTTGTCCGACAAGCCAGGAAAAGGTCAAAAAAAATCCGTGCGAACCCCAAAAAACATCAAAGTGCTTCGCGAAAGAATCCGAAGAAATCCGTGTCAATCAATGAGGAAAATGGCCAAAAGTCTCCAAATTTCGGAAAAAAGTGTCAGGAGGATTGTCAAATTGGATCTTAAATTGAAGCCTATAAAATTTCAAGCAGCACATGTTCTCACTGAGAAAATGAAGGAGCAAAGACTTAAGAAATGCAAAGTTTTGTTGCGGCGTTTGAAGGGTGGCACGCATCGGAGGGTTCCCTGGTCGGATGAAGCGCCATTCACAATTGAGCAGGAATTCAACAAGCAAAATAATCGGATTTTAACAAAAGATGTTGCCACGGCAAATTCTCAGGGAAGAATTGTCCAAAAATCGGCTCATCCAAAATCGTTGATGGTTTGGGCCGGGGTGACCGCTGATGGAAAACACCTCTTGTTTTTGTGCAGCCAGGTGTGAAAATTGATCAAAATTACTACGAAAAAGAAATTTTGATGAGGCATATGAAGCCTTGGGCTGATAATCACTTTTCTGGAGCACCTTGGATCTTTGAACAAGATTCTGCACCAACACATCGTGCAAAAAAAGACCATGGAGTGGTTTGCCAAGCAAAACGTGGATTTCATTACCCCGGAAGAATGGCCTGTAAATTCACCTGACATCAATCCTATGGATTTCGCCATATGGGGAATCTTGAAGGCAAAGGTCTCATCAGCTCCACATGCTAATTTGAAAGCCACCCTTATCAAGGAATGGGCAAAAATCCCCGTTGAGACTCTCCGTGCCGCGGTCGACGATGTGCCGAAGCGACTTAGGGCTTGCATGAAGGAAAAAGGAGGAAACTTTGAGATTTAACTGTTTTTATTTTGTTATTTGGACTGTTGTTGTTATTTTCAGTAAAATTCTATAAAGCTTTTCTGCTAATTTTCTGAAGACCAGTCGGTCTTTTCATCGCCGGATATTTTGGCCGCACGCTGTAATTGTCCGAAAAAGTACTAAAAAGCAAATCTTTATTTTCGAACTGTGCGCAATGAGTCCTTTTTAGCTATTTATTTCCTTCTCACAATTGCGTAGAAAAATTTTGAGTGTTTTGATGAGCGTTTCCCTGTCACGTTCATTTTGCGTTGGTTCGTGATCGTCGAGCGTATTATGGCTTCGATTCTTCTTTTCCTTTTTCTGCAAGAGTTCGGCCTAAAAACGTTCATAGGAAGCTAATGGAAAATCGTTTACATTCATTGCTTTCAAATACTTATGTTCCAGAAGCTCTCTTGCCAAAGTTCTTCGGGGGTTGATGCAAAGCATTTTGCCGAGAAGGCCTCGAAAGTTCTCCCCTAAAATTGACTAAGTGGATTGAAATTCTGATGACTCCTGATTTGATGCGACAATACCGTAATGATTCAAGTAGCCAGTTCCCTGGTCTTGGCTATGAGAGCCCCTAGAACCACCAGAAGCCTCAGAGAGCCAAAGCAAGCTAGACCTGGCTTCTAGCCTTGCCCAGCCTCATTTACATCGCTTTCAGCTCAGGTTGAACACCACAGATCCTACCATTCATATCCCGAAGTGGAGCTCCAAGCCGTGTGCAGGCTGTGGTCAGAAAAGCGTTGAAGGTACCGTCACGTGGCTTCTCATTTATCAACTTGTTTTTGAAACTGAAATTTCATCTACTAATTGTTATTTGACATGTGGTAGCGCCCAAACGCCTTTTAGAATGGTTCCTTTAAACGATAGAACTTACAATTCCTGGTACTTGTTTCCTGGCACTCCGAAAACATCAAGAATCCTTTGTTTGATTTTTGATTTCTAAACATTAGCATAGGTATGTAGAGTCTAATCATGGCAATAAACAGTCACATACCGAGTTCACACTTGCCGGGTAGAATGGATGATTGAGAAAATCAAGTGCGACCAAGCCGGTTGCCCAAATGTCAACTAAACAGCTCAACTCAAAAGCTTTGAAGTTAAAGTACCGCCCCAATCGTACTGTTCCACTAATTGCACTTCAAGTAATAGATATAGGGGAGATGAAGCGCCTTCTGTCAAATCGTTCATATCGTTGATTGGCCTGGATTAGAACGTCCGAAACCGACCACAAGATAATCAATGGCCGGATTCGGACGTCCGGATCAGATCCGGACGCCTGGTCGGATTCGAACGTAACATATATTGGGTTGGGGACTATGACTCAGCGGCTAGTTTTCATATGTGCACAGTTCTCACACTTTCTTCCAAAGAAACCCATTTTGGTGTCAATGGAAAAGTTGTAGAGAATCAAAAATTAGGCTTATAGCCAAATTTCCAAAAAGATACACTTAGTAGTTTCGCTTAAAATGCAAGTTCTGTGAAAATTCGTAAATTTGGCATTTCTTGAAAACCAGTTTTT